CCAAAAAATAAAATAATTGAAACATTTGATTTAGTAATTATAGAAATTAAAATATATATATATATATATATATATATTTGGGAGAATCTATGTGAATACATGGACTAGATTTGAGGAGAGATTGAGAGATGAATACTTTGATGAAGATACTGAAAGGATGTCTAAAGGAGGTTTTCTAAAGGTGGATTAACAATGAAGCAAATATATGAAATCAAATGAGCTACCAAGGGAGTTTGAGAAGATATTTGGACAACTTCTATTATCTAAGAAGCACCTTCTAGGTATGAGAAAATTAGAGATATTTTTTTTAAAATTACAAATTAATTACTAGAAGATAGATTGTTTCTTCTTCTTTACAATGAAATAGTAGAAGGTGGTTATATCACTAATTAGAGAAGATTGGAAGAGGGGGTGAGCCTCATTGTTATTATCTTAAAAAACTATTTTGAAAGTATAATTGTTATATAAATGTTGAAGTGTATACATCTATTTGTGCTATCAATTATATCTACAAGTACATCTATAAGGACTATAATTACATCATAATGTAATTTGGAAACTAACAAGATGATGTTATATAGTAACATGACTATATAGTAAAAAATAAAAATATGGATGTTATTATAAAAGAGCCTAATAGAAAGATGTAGTAAAAAATAAGAATAAATAATAAAAAAGATAATAAAATATTAATTCTTAATTATTTTTTATAAAAAGAAAATTTATTTATTTTTTAGAAGCTTAAATGAGCCAAATCAAACTTAATGAGATAAAAAATTGCTATAGATATGTTTAAAAAAATATTAAAGCAAAATTACCTCAAATTATAAAACTTAATACTTAGAGAGGACTAGATGTCAATTTGGATTGAAATCAAATCTTCAGATATAAAACTATATACCTACAATAATTCTAAGGTTCTTTTGCAAATCAAAGAATAGAATCTGAAAATAGACTTGAAGAGAGATTTTTGAGTATTAATTTTATGTTATTTGGATTAATATTAATATTTAAAAAAAATTCAAAATTAATAATATACTCAATAGATTTGGATTTTAAGAAATAAAAAAAATATATAAATTTTAGGATTTTGTGAAATTTGTAGCATATTTATAGATGAAAATTTTATTTTTTTTAATTATACTTGTTATAAATGTGTGTAAAAAATTTGAGGTCAATCAAGTGATTAGTATAAAATGTATGAAGATTTTTGTAGGTTATAATCTTGGATAATTGATATTTAGAATCAATGAATAATTTTGTGAATCTGGCAATATTTGCTTGTTTGATTGAAGCAAAAAATTTCGAGAGAAATTTAGACTAGGATATCTACACATAATCCAAATTGTTGATCAATTCAACAATTCAATAAGGAGAAATTTATATTGAAAGATCAATGTTCAAGTTGAAGAAGGAGAGTAGCCAATAATTGAGAAGTTTGGAGGGCTTTTCTTACAATTAATTTGTGCAATCTTCTTCAAATATTTTATGCTTGTTTCTAATTTAGTTATTTTAAGGTATATAAAATTTAAATCAAAACCAATAGTTTATTTTTTAATTATTGAATTTTTAATTTATGAAAAGATTATTTAGATTGATTAGGATTGATTTAGAATTTAAGATTTGTCTAAGATTTGATTAAAATTTAGGGTTTCACTGAAGATATGACTAGGATTTGATTAAGGTTTGACTAGGATTTGATTAAGGTTTGACTAGGATTTGATTATGATTTGTCTAAGATTTTATTAGAATTTTATTAGGATTTTATTAAGATTGATCTAAGATTTAATTAGGATTTGATCTAAAGATTGATTAAGATTGAATAGGATTCAATTAGAATTTCTATTTCTAATATTTTTTTAAGATTGTTTTTGTTTCTTTAAAGGTTTATTTTTATATTTCTTTAAGATTTTTTTGTTATTTTTCTTTGAGATTAATTTATGACTTTTTTTTATTTCTTTTGTAATTTAAAAAATATATATATTTTGGATTGATTAAAATTTGATTCGGATTATTTAATATTATTTAAAGTTTATTTAATATTTTATTGGATTTGATAGGATTATTGTTGCCTTTCTACTTATCTTCTACAATTAGATGCCTAGTGCATTTTTAAGCAAGAACATATGTAATACGACAATAAGATTAAATAATACTTAAATATAAGATACATTCAAGCTTTGGAAGCTACTTAGAGACTATTTGGCATATAGATCCATAAAAAATACCAAATATTATTCTCTTGGCCATTCATCTTTCAAGAATGCATCAAGTAGTATATGATCCAAATAATGAGGCAATTACAATTCTAGAACATGCTAAAAGACAAAAAAACAACATTAACTTCATTTTTTGAAATGTATGCAATAATGGCAATGGCAAGATACATACTAATAGTTTTTACAATATTTTATTTAACATACGACAAAATAGATGTGGACATTAAAAAAATATGAATTTGCTATTGAAAGGATATATTTTACAAATCCAGCAATGGGAGAAAGATACTATTTGAGGCTTTTGTTAATCCATGTTAGAGGTTTACAATCATTTGAATACTTAAAGATTATTTATAAAATTTCTTATCTAATATTTAAAAATACAATTATAGCTTTAGAATTACTTAAATATCACAAAGAGTGGCAATAATATTTAGAAGAGGCATCAAGAATAAAAATTGAATTTCAATTGAAGGCGTTATTTGTTATTTTGCTATTATACAAAAATTTGATAAATCCATTAAATCTATGAAAAATATTTTGAAAAAGCAGCTTGGATGATCTTAGTGCTTGTTTTCAAAAAGAATATGGAATTAACAATTCAATAGAGCAATAAATTAAGGATTTTAGACTCTTTCTATTGGATAAGATTTTGCAAGACTCCAATAAAATGCTTGCATACTTTTTTCTAATGTCATTACTAAGAAACAATTGAAATGCAAGGATTAATGGAAATCAATTTATTATTGAAGAATGAGTATGGGACATTCAATAATTAGAAGAAAATTTGGAACAATATGTTCTACAATTGAATCTTGAGCAAATAAATACATATGATGATATTGTGGCATTTATAACGGAAGAACATAGACATATATATTTTTTTAAATAGACTTGTAAGAATTAATAAGACATTTGTCTACAAAAATTTGGCAACTAAAGTTCAATTGATGCAAAAGATTGTATATATGTTGCATCATCAAGCATTACTTCATTGCTACGTGATGGAGAAAGGATTGTTCATTCTATGTTCAAGATTCTACTAGATTGTAATAAAATTTCTTTTATATTCAATTATTAAGAATTTTGACCATGTCAAGTTTATTTGCCAAAATTTTCTTATTATTTGAAATAAACTTTCAATGCAATATTGTTATTGTCTTGAGAAAATTGATCATTCTTTTAGAAACATTGGATATATTGATTGCCCATTTCTATGAGCTACAATTGTTTTTGGTAGAGATTTTTGCCAAATATTACCAATAATCATGAAAAGAACTTGAACATCTTGTTGACATTTAGTACTTTGGCTTTAAATAAAAATCCATACATTAAAAAAAAAATATGAGGTTGAATTCAGAAGCACTTCAAACAGACATTTAATTTTCTTCTTGGCTTCTTTAGGTATGGAATGCATGTACATGTTGTATATAATAAAAGTGGTGCATTTAAATTCTTTATGGTTGTATTATTATTGATTAATATTTTTATTTGTGACTTGCCATATTGGAAACTATACAAACTTATTGCTTGACAATATGGTTATGCTTTATGATCACATGATTGTCAATTGACAATTAATGTCCTTAATTGATATTTTTTTATTTAAGGCTAGGAAAAGATGATGTAGCAAATAATGTCTTCTTAAAAAATAGAATGATTTTATCTACATAAAATGATCATGTAGAGGATATTAATAAAAAGATTCTAATCATATTTCTTGAAGAAGAATAAGAATATCTAAGCATCAATGAAGTTATTGTCAAAGATGGTGTCAATAATAATAATGTTTATCCAACCAAATTTATCAAATTATTTATCCATCTAAAATGGCCAGATTAAGGTTTTGCCTTAAGATTGGGACTCTAGTGATGCTACTAAGAAACATTGCTCCTCTCCAACAACTTTGCAATAGAACTTGATTAATAATTATACAACTCATGGATTGAGTTCTTCAAGCAAGAATTTTTGGAAGCCAATTTATAAGAAACTTGATGTTTATTCCACAGATTATATTAACTTCTATAACAAAAGAACTTTTGTTCATTCTAAAGAAAAAGAAATTTCCAATATGTCTTACATTTGTAATTACAATAAACAAATTCCAAAGACTTGATAAAGCACATGTAGAGAAAATTTCATGTTGCTTTGTTGTTATTACTAGCAATCAAAGATTCTAAAACGCCCTATGAACTCTTAACAACATTACATTTTTTGATGAAAATAAAGCAAGATACATGTAATGAATAGAAGATACATTTTGTCTCCATAGAACATGAATTTTTTTGATAAAAACAAAGAACAAAAGAGTGCATGAAGGCACTCACTCTATAATACAAAGCTCTATAAAACGACCTAAGAATTTTGTAAAACAACTTGTGCATTTTAGAAAAAGTGAACTTTTTTTTGATGAAAATGAAGATCCATCCATGCAACCATTTAGAACCACTACATGTCTGCATTGAGTGTTCTTAATAATTAGATATCCAAAGTCGGAGGAGGGTACAAGGCGAAAGCCAAGCCCTAAATGGCGACAAAAGCCTCCAATTAGTCACTGGCACATATAGCGAGCACCCTCTATGCCCGGTTGAGGGGCCTGGAATCCGGACCATTCCCCACCGGTTCCACGGTAAAGCAAATATACCGGGCCGGGTCTCCCCCTCGGGGAAATCTAAGACAACGCGGGTCACTCTGCTTCGCGGGAGCGGGTCCAGGTGATCGCGGTTGTTTCCCGATCAGCACTAAGTATGATCAAAAGCTTGATTTGTCCTTTACGAGGCCCCGAGATGCAGGGAGGCAGGTCGGTAGGTAGGAAGAGGGTGGTCGGTTGGTGGACAGGGTTGTTGTAGCGGGAGCCAGGGTCACGGGGTGCTCGTAAACTTTGGGAGGGGGAGCTCGGAGCAATGGCGGAGAGGTGCGTGTGAAAGGATTCAGAGAGCGATTCCGCGTTGGATCAGTGGCATATGGCGTTGGCGACGGAGGAGCATTGACAGGCAGATCCATTGGCCCTCTTGCGCACGGTCTCGTCCTAAATTTGGCCCTCCCTTGTACTTGGTTGCACATTTTCGGCCCCGTGCAGATCTCCGGGTGCGCGAGGTGGAAGACAGGGTCTCCGCATCAATGCCGTCTTCAATCGTTGAAGGTTCGCAGATGCTCTGCAAGCTACTCTCGGTGTCGGTGATGGTGCGTCTGAGTCCTCTTGATTGTTTCGGGTGCCGTAGCGCGATATTGCTGTCTGGTTTGGACTTGTGAGGCGTCGGGTTGAATTGGTTTGGAGGATCAGGGCGGAGATGCTTGCCGGGAGACGTTTGCGAGCCGTTGGTACGACATTCGTGTGTGTCTCGTGACTTTGGTGTTATTTCGAGCTCGTGAAGCTGGAAGTGAGGAGTCTTTTGGTTTTCTTGAAGTCTTCTATTATTGATCATCGCGCTTATTGTCCTATGAGCATTTCGATGCGTATCTGTAGCTCTATTAGGTTCCATGAAGTTCGGGTGCAAGGCTCCTTTCGTTTTTATCTCGATTCTTTCTTGTGGTCATGTTTATCGTATCTGAATATTTACAGCGTAGTCTGTGGTAGTTTTCATACGCCGCTGCTTAGCGAGCATTTTTTTCGACCTGGTTACTTTTTTTGTAGTACTTGAGGAACGGGGACCCTATTCAAAATCTCTGGCACTAAGTATTGCACACTCTGCTTTCAGGAGATTGATCCTCGTGTGTTACATGGGAAGGGGTGATTTGTGCGAATGAATGCGGTTCAATATCAATGTTGAAAGAGTAGGTTCACGGCGTAGGTCCTGAATGTCATTTTCAATTTAATGCTTGAATATTTTGCTTGTGTTTCGGCGGGAAAGTAATCAACTCATGGAGTGTATAGAATGTAATCTAGGTTAACGAGACATTTAGAGGTCAAATCGTTTTCATTGTAAAAACATTCAGATGGTACAACTTCCAAGTTAGAATGCTCGAATTCTAGATCATGGAACTTGTTGGCATCTCCCTTAACAGCTTTTATCTTCAACCTCAACTGCGCAGCACTGGAAACCAAGCGTGATTCCCACATATTCATAATAATGCTCGAGAAATTGAAACTTTTGAAGCTCGGGAGTGTGAAAGAAAAACACATGAGGCTGTATAGGTAATTTAAGCACTTTCTTCCTAGAATGCTAATTTAGAGATTACGGAACTGGAATGTGTAGAGAGAATTTGATGCGGAAGACGGCATTTGGGTGTTGTGTAATCAGGCTCATGAAATAAGCTATTGGGTTCGGAGAAATCGGATCAGCACCCAGGAGTTCTGGATGTTGCGATGTGGGTTTATTCTGTTTGCTCATTGATAACGAGAACAACAACTTGACCTAGGGTTTTAGCTATCGTGAGGGATTTTCCGTTCTTTATTCTGTTACTGTTAACACCCGATATACCACTTTTTCTTCATAATGTTATTAATGTTACTATTACTGTTATTTTTATCTTTCTCTTTTAGAAAATAGACCGTGAATGAAAATCCCTGTGCACCAGGACTTGCCGTGGTAACTGAGCATGTGTCATAGTAGAGTGTGTTCGTCTTCAATCAGACGCTCTAAAACCTTTTCGCCACGTCTGCTTGGCATGTAAATGTGTCATCACGATTTGTTTACTTCTCCCAGGTTGTCTAGAGGATAGCAGTTTTGTGCATTGAAAACTCTCTTTGCAATGAAGTTTTAACACTCGTGAACAATATACTTTCCTACCTTTACAATTTTTCTGCGATGCAACTTTCTTTTGTTTCTATGCAGGCCGAGAGAGATGAACAATGAGTTGCATCCGCTGCCATTGAAGATGGACCAAGAGAGCTCACGTGGTTTTATTCAATGATTTAATCGTAAGCAATTCGATCGTTTTTTCAAATTCGTTTTGATTGTATATCATACAGTCTTTTGTGGGACATGAAAGAGGAACAAGCCCATCGCAGCACTTGAGCGTGGGAAGCTGCAATTCCTGCACCCAAGCTCTTTGCTCCATGTCTACACGGTCTGCCAGTAGTTTTTCCCTACCTTTTTTGCCTGTCTTTCGACGTTACATAATATGTGCGGATTGATGTGTGCAGCATCTGGAGTTTTCTTCATAAGAGGTGATGTTTGTCTGAAAGCACGGGAGCCATGGGCAAGTCAGGCAAGTGGTTGAAGAAGGTCAAGAATGCTTTCAGGTCTCCATCGAAGGATGTAATTGATGACAAAGATGAAACCGTAAGTCTCTCGGGGGACGTCGTTGCGCTGAAGATTTCAATTTCTTAATTCTAGTGTCTATATGCAGTTGACGGGCCTAACTTTTTAGGCATATTATTTATACGTATGAAGGGTGGATCTCAATCTGGGCTGCTGAATCATGTCTTCTCCTGGAGTGGCATTGTGGGTTTGCAGCTGTTGACTAGGATGAGGTTTGTGTTTTGTCTGTGTACAGAAAAAGAGGCCTTCGAAGGGTAATCGAGGGACAAATTTGGACTATTATAAGGCTGTGCCTATACCTCTCCCACTACCAGCTGTTACGGGACTGACCAATCAAGAAGTTGAGCAGGAGCGTGGCAACGAATTTTCGAAGGAAGAGGTAATTGCTGAGTTAGAGAATCAGCCAGATAATGACCATGCACGACAGGAGGCCATGGAATCCGAGGTCGACAGGGAAGCCGAAGCACTTCGCGAGGAACAGGCAGCTATTCAAATACAGCGAGCTTTTCGTAACCACTTGGTAAGCTTGTGCAAGTACAGGGACATCATAGAAGGGACTTGCTTTGGCTTGTCCTACTGGAGTTATTTGGTCGCTGCGATTTCATAGAACTAGAATAGCAACTCGAAATGAAGGCGTACCTTGATACGTGCTTCCAGGATTTCAGAATATTATGATTGTGCTTTTTCTTTACTATGTAGATGTGCCTGATTATGCGAGCCACCTTGGATGTGCAATCAAGAAGTGTGAGCCTGCTGATTCTAATCAGTGCTATGAGTGGAGTGGTTTGAAGGCTTTGAAAGGACTTGTTCGACTTCAAGCCTTGGTGCGAGGACACACTGTACGAAGGCAGGCCGCAACAACACTGAGAGCGATGGGAGCTCTTGTTCGTGTTCAAGCCCGTATCCGTGCTCGTCGAGTCAGGATGTCAGAGGAAGGACAAGCTGTACAGCAGCAGATCATGCAAAGGCGTCTCGCTCTTGCACGACCAAAGACCTCAGTATGCTGCAACCAACTCAATCTTCATTTCAATGTTTGACCACTTTTAAAGTCCTGCTTGGGCAATTTTTCTCTTGAAACTCTGCCAAGTACTTCGCAACTGGGCGAGATCGCTGTGGTAAAAACTTTTGAAGCGTTTGTGGTCGGTGTCACTAAGAGTTTCCCTTCATAAACATTTCTGCGTGGTATTACTTGACTTTCTCTTTTCAGGAGGGAGCTTGGATCACAGGTCGGGACTCGAAGGAAAAACAGCAGATACGAGAAGAGGCAGCCAAGAAGCGAGAAAGGGCAATGGCTTACGCGTTCTCACAGCAGGTGTATTGTCCATCTTAACGAATTCTTCAATCGAAACTTTTAGTGGGTAAAGTAAGAATACTCATTTATATGCGTTCAGCTTATTACATATTAGGACATCTGCTTGAAAGCCTAGCACCGTTTATTGATCACTCTGGAATCTGCATTTGTTCCATCTTCTCAGGCGAAACGAAATACCCCAAAACGAAACATGTTGTTTACAGAAAGTGAGCCCGATCAATCCCATTGGGGGTGGAGCTGGATGGACCGGTGGATGGCTGCCCGCCCCTGGGAGAATCGTCACTTCGACCTTACGAAGGAAGGTAACCAGAATGTTTCATCTGTGAAGTTTCTCGGGGTCCAGCCAAAGAATGTCAAAATTGATGGAGTCAATTTGAAACCTGCTCGGTCTCCACCACCACTGAACTCAAGGGTTGAGAAACCAGAAGACAGAGCTAAGAAAAGTCGCCGTGCTGTCGGAGCGAATGGAAATATTCCATTGCCTCTTCCATCTCCACCTTCTGCTGATGAGCCTTCATCAAATATGCCTGACATCAATGGAAGAAAGAACCTATCACCTGAAAAGCTGACAATTTCACCAAGGCAAATGACACAGCTTCCCCCAGCTTCTCCCCCTGAAGAAATTGTGAGGCCCATAGCTCATGAGAGCGATGCTGCTCTAGCTTCACCATCAGATAGTTCATCCTTCCAACCTCCACCTCCTTCCAACCATCCTGGTTCAAACGGAGGTACTTTTGCTGTATCAAATGACGGGACGGCGGAGCAGGATCCTAGTTGCAGTGGTTCCTCTGGTTCTGAACACGGAGTTAACGAAGACCAGTTTACCAAAGCCAGTCCTCGAGATTCTCCCATGTCAGGTAATCAAAGCGACGTTTCTCCGAAATTGTAGTTTGATTGGCATCAAAAAAAGTCAATTCCTTCATGACTTTGTCACTAATTAGGTAGTTAGATGACGAGAGGAGCTTGGAGATTGTGTTGGATCAAGGCTGGATTTTTAATTCCTCCAGGCTGGCTGCCCAGGGTTTTGCATGCTGCAGATAAACAACATATACTTGTGTATATGCGATCTGGGCATGTGTGTAGGCATGATAAGGGCTTTTCTGTTGGTCGAACCTGTTAACTAGAAGGCTTGAATCTCGTCATTGTTTCCACTCTCTTTTCTATCATGACTATTTTGATGTTACGTGCAGGTCATGCTAAGGCTAACGTCGATGCGATTAGTACACCCAACATGACGAAAGAGGCAGGGAATGGGGAGAACAGTGGACCAACAAGTCACAAGTTGACTAGAAGCCGGTATATGGAGGCCACAGTTTCTGCGAAAGCCAAAGCACGCACGAGTCCTAAGACCAAAGTGGAGGGAGAGGAGTCACCCGTCAAACAGCCGAAGCGTCTCTCTTTTGGAGGCCCTTCAGTTGCAAGATCGAAGTCTCCAAGTGGAACCGCCGCAGTTAGATCAAAATCTACTTTGCAGGTTTTGCATTGACTTAAAGCTTTCAAAGCAGTATTTTCCATCTGAACTAATGTTTGAAGTGATACGTGGTGAAGGCATGTGTATGGATGATGGCATGCTTTGAGGATTCAAGTCGGAGCTTCATTTGTTCCAGGAGTAATTTCAAGCTTTAAACTAAGTTACTTGGACCATCTGTGTTGTTTTAGTGGGGAGATATCCAAGGTGGCAATTTTGCATTGTGTCATAGAAAATTGAACAGAAGATATGGACTCAGTTTCATGAGTGTTCTCTAATTGTGTAAATTTTGTGTTTCAGGTGCGGACCAGCCTTCCAAGTGGTCTCTTCAAGGATGCATCTGTGGAGATTGTTAGTCCTGTTGACTCCGGCGGTGGTGGTCAGACTGTTTTGAGAAGAAAGTCCTTCGGCGGAGACGCTAAATCTGCAACGAAGTGGAGGTGACTGGTAGCTCGACATGTTAAGTTGAATTGCAAACTTGACCTTACTTTGGTGTTGTAGTAACAGAAGACCAGCATTTGACCTTTTTACATTGCCTCACACTTTTAAGTCCATTACAGTGACGGCATCTAAATCCATTTCAAGTTGTTTAGAGTGCAATGGCCCCAACGTTTTTTTATATGCCTAGATGCTGATCAAACCATACTTTTCCAAATATTGTCAAGTTGAAAGAAGCTTTGAGTACATAAAAGAATATCGTCTTGTTGCATCTAGCTGAAAAGAAAGCGCCAGAAATAATCGATGAGTGCTAGTTTGCCTACATTGTATGTGTCTCCTCCGTTCAAGTACTGACAAGAAGTAACAAAGAAAGACAACACAACTTGATGCACATCATTGAAACTCCTTAGACGTAGCTGAAAACCCCGTCCCTATATACATTGAAGTCCTAAATCTAGTAAAAGCCCACATCGTGACACCTCGTCCCACAGGTCGGATTCAAAATGATTTACGAATCATCGGTATCAGAATCGAACAGATTTTCACCGCGGAAATATGTTCCCGCAAGTGCACACCGTTATCTTTCCACACCCCTTGTGACTTTGCGGCATATAACCATCATCTTGGCTTTGACGATTAAACGGTAAAAGTATCGTTGATCTCAGACATCATCGCAAGTGCAGTTACCTGATGTTCTTCACGTCTTTCAGCAATGTTTTCAGCTCCCCTGACTGTCACATTCACAAATCGTTAGTTCAATTAAGTCATTAATACAGCTGCTTGACCTTTGTATACTAATTCACATGACCTGTGACTTTGTATTGAACGCCAAAATTTGAACTGCAAGATGTGGACTTACCCGGTGCATGGAGATGAGAATGTCGGATCCTCCAACAAACTCGCCGTTCACGTAAACTTGTGGAATTGTTGGCCAATTACTGCATTTAAAAGCACGATCGGATTTAGTCTACAACAATTCCTCTCAAGTTCTGTTCCATGAGTTGATATGTAAGTTAGAAAATCAACGTTGGTAGACATGGAACCTGTACTCTTTGATGGCATTTCTAAGCTCCGGGTCGGACAGAACATTCCTCGTCTTATACCGTACTCCTGCGATTCACCATGCAGAGCACCCCATAGTTAAACACACACTCACAAAACCATACAAAAAAGATCAGAATAAACTGCATTTTTGTTTAAAATCAACGTGCAACTGGAATTTCATGACCCTCCCTCGAAATTAGTAACCTCTGGGGTAAGACATGTGGCTTTATCCACTTGTCATTTAACAACTAACATTAAAACAACTTTCTATTTTCGTGAAGGTAAATTTGGAAACTCCAACAGGCAGTGATACTTTCTCATGAGATACTCTCATCTTCCAAATTAGAGGTAAGATCCATTACCATATTCATCCAATATGTGAACAACCATGGCACTGAATCCGCACTGAGGTGCATCAGGAACTCCTTTCATGTAAATCAATACTGGATTTTCCTTGACGTCCTGTATCCCCATCAACAAATTGATAGATAGCTCACGAATATTAAAGCAGTCGAAGGAATTAACTCATACTGCAAGATAAAAAATAGTCGCACTCCAAATTCGACAGACGTAATGCAAGGACTTGCAAAGGGATGACGTATGTTACCCTCTCGATGTGTTCCTGGACGGAGACTCCAGCATCTCCTTTATGCACGGGCTTAAAATCATCATGGGAATCTGCTCCATCTCCAGTAATACTAATACCAGCTCGCTGTTGCAACCATGGAACTGCCATTTCGAGTACATTCTGGTGTCATTCGTTGGGTTTATGACAAACCACACGACAAAACAAAGCCCTCTCACATTCGGCTCGATGCTGCAACCACTTCAGAACTAAAAGACCTAGTTCAATCACCCTAACATCTTTCCAACCATCGAAACATGGCCGGCAAGTTGCACACTTAACATAGCCTGATCTCCTTCCTACATATTTCATACCCTAATTTCCGAATTCTCGAGAATTCATGAGAACACCCAAGGCCCCGTCACTTCCAGGGGTTTCGGTGCAATGTGAGAGCTCTCAACCTCACCATCGAAGATCTCAACTACACCTCTACAGACACGAAAAGAACCCTCCTCCGAATAACGAATTCGCAGCCAAGGATCCATCAGTCCCCGGCGGGTTCTACCGCACACAGAACCGCGAATTGGCGCACGAATTCAACTACGACAACACCCGTACGAGAAATCCTAAAACAACCGAAACCCAACTCCGAACTGAGAAAGGCGAAGCAGCACCGCGATCTCGATTGGCGAAAGGTGAGGAAGCGTTGGAGCACGATGCCGCCACCCGCAGCAGCTGCGACCACGCGCGTCCGCGAGTACTCAGCATTGGGCAATTGGGTATGCGAGCGAGCGAGAGAGTGAGCAATCAATTCGCGGTGCTTTAATTCCTCTTCCTCCGAAGTGATCGGCGATGCTTCTTCATCTGCAAATTGAGTCGGATTTCGAATCTCCTGCTCGTCGGGGTCCGTGGAGTCCTCGCCGGTCGCCCTGCTTCGGCCATAGGCTCCAGAATCTAAATGAATATTCCTTTTGTCCGCGGGCATGGGCGACATCCCTCACTACCGGCCACGCTTATATGTGCTCGTTTCTTTTAATATTATGCTTTCTCATTGGAGAATGAGATAATGTTGAGGATTTTATTATTTACTTGACGTTTTTTTTAGTTATTTTTTTCTTTTCTTTTTATAACAAAAATCATGAGTGTATATGGAATGTAATAATTTGCATGTAAGGAATAAGCTTGTTTATTTATTTATTTATTATCTTTTTTTTTTTGTTGTTGTTGTGTATGTGGTTTGGTGGACTAATGTAAGAGTATCTTTATTTATTTATTTATTTATTTATTTATTTATTATTTTTCGGTTTCATTCGGACTTTTTTATTGTTATTCAACGGAAAATTTTATTTATGGTTATGTAATTCTTGCACGGATTATCAGGTAATACCGTAAATCATCCAAGTTTAAAATTATTTTTAATCTTGTAAAAATATCGGTATTTTTGGGCTTGTGAGGCCTTCCAAAAATATGAACAAATGAGGCCATGCTACAGAACTTCTTGAGCTGACTTCTGAGATCACCAAAAGACTCAACTCTTTCTATATATTGTAATGCAATGTTGCAAAAACAGAACAATCAAGTTAAAAAAAAGTACACACAGTTGCTTTACTTTTGGAGATGGGGTTCGTTCTTGAGCAGACTAAATGTGGAGAATTTGAGACCTTGTAATCTTTTACTTAAGCTAAGTTAGTAGAAGTAGAATAAATGTGCAAATTTCAATCAAGAGGATACAATCATATACACTAGGATTTAAAGGTGGATTGGATAAACCCAAAAAACTCCTTTGGTACTAACTTCTTCAACCAAAGGTAAAATAATGACATGTATTGAAAATATCACAACCTCTAAATTTATGCAAGTTGGAATATAAGAGCCACGACTCTATGTGTTGATGGAATGAAGCAGATTTCAAAGCTAAATGAGACTTGAAGATATTTCAACAAAATGGAGTTTCTGATTGAAAACGATTCCTTTTTTTTTTTTTTTTTTTTTTTTTTTTCTCAATAAAATCAGCTTAATAGCCTATTGAGGTTCACCTTTGCCAGTATGTGAAAAATTAGTCATATAATTTGGCCAAAATGAACCAAATGTAAATTCAAAAGAAATTTCAAATCAAAATGTGCAAGATAAATTAAATGTTAATGTCAGTTGATTAAATCAAACCACCTACCAAAAATCCTTTTTGAAACTTACAGTAAATTTGACACTGATTTTTTTTTAAACTTTTAATTTACTTAAATTTTTGTGCGTCAGAAGGTGGGAGAAGAAAGGAACATGATAAAAAAAATCTAGAAAGTACCACAGAAAAGCCATTCCACCCTCTCACTCCCTAAACAAAACCATAAGAACTGCTTTAAAAGCCACTGAAAACTTTTGACCAATGCGATTAAGAGAGCAACTTCTAAATACTAGCCTACTACTTATACTACTGTTTGTGTCATGAATCCATACTGTAAAATCCAACGGTACCCCAACTAACAGAAAGTATAAACTCGAGATTCATCTTCGATTAGCAGGCCAATGCCAGAATCGGTGAAGCTAGAATGGTCACAAAAGTGATACCTAAGCTGACCCAGATGTTGTGGTATCCTACAACAATCAGAATACAAGGATGACTTAGAATACTACAACAATCACAAATGCTGGAAACGATCTGCAACATGATCGACACATGTTTACCGATTTGGATATCGTCGATTCTTTGTCATGTGAGGGCAGTAGCGTTGATGCAGGAGATATAGTTTGTGGTCATAGTTCAGATATTGGTTGTATCGATGAACAGTTTTACTAGTGGGAGGCACACTCTGAGAATTCTTCAAGATTGAATATTCCTATTCTTTGTCGAAATTGTTGAAAAATAACTCCTCCCAAAGATTTTGTAAGATATATCAGCCTCTTGCTCACTTGTGTGAATATTCGTTACTTTGATGTCGCCTTCCTCAACCCTTTCTCTAATGTAATGATGCTGCAACTCGATGTGCTTAGTTCTCGCATGCAGCACTAGATTTTTGACCACCTTAATGGAACTCTGGTTATCACAGAATACCTTTGTTGGTTGCATTGGTCCCTCCCCCAGTTCAATCATCATCGTTCGCAGCGACATGATTTCTATCGCACCATCGGACAAAGCGTTGTACTCCGTTTCTGTCGTAGAAAGCACTACTATAGGCTGCAGCTTGTTGCTCCAGTGAAGTGGTACCTCTCCCACTTTATGCAACAAACTAGATGTTGATCTCCTCTTATCCAGATCACGTCCCCAGTCTGAATCAACAAAGCCTTGCAGATCAATTGATGTGGTTCTTGAGAACACCCCAAAATTACTTGTTCCTCTGATGTAGCGAAGGATGCTTGTAGCAGCATCAAGATGTGCTCATTGATGACTCGACATAAAGCGACTGAGGCAACTGACCGGGTAGGCAATGTCCAGTCAGGTATGAGTGAGGTAAATTAAACTTCCAATGAATCGCTGATAATTGCCTATCTCCACCGAATCCGCTTCCCTGTTTGTGTGAAGTTTTACACCTTCCATCAGGGTCGCTTCGGGGCACTGTTCGTCATCCCAAACTTCTCATGAAGATTTAGCAGGTAGTTTCTTTGGAGCAGCAATATCCCGTGCGGCAAGCGGACAAATTCGACACCGATATAGAAGGTGAGTAAGCCCAACTTTGACATCTCGAATCTGTTTTCTAGTTTATTCTCAAGTGCGTCAATGCGATTTGCATGATTACCAGTAATTAATAAATCATCAACGTAGATCAAGACTATCATGATGAGCCCATGTTCTTGGCAAAATTACAAATTGTGATCTTCATCACTTTGAACCATTCCTAAATCGATCAGGAACATGTGGATTTTAATGTACCAGACTCGACTAGCTTGCCAAAACCTTTCCTTGATCTTCATGTTGCAAAAGACACAGACCCTGAGGCAGCTCCATATGCACTTCTTCTTGAAGATCTCCATTCAAAACTGCGGTTTTTATATTTAAGTGTCGGATGCTCTAATCCTTCTTTGTTGCCATGATCACAACACATCTGATGGTTGGCCTTTTGACCGTTGGAGCAAAGGTAACTTGATAATCGATACCTTCCCTCTGCTCAAAACCCCGCACAACCAATCACGCCTCGAGCTTTTCTATCTTACCATCTAGTGTCAATTTCGTTTTAAAAACTCACTTCTAGGTAATCGTTGATTTGCCTTCTGGCCTATGGACTAGTTCCCAAGTCTGATTTTTTTGAATGGATTCGAGCTCCTCATGCATTGCTGTGGTCCATCCTGGGTGACTTATTGTCTCCTCAAAAGTGTTTGGATCTTTTAGATCTATTCCATATACTTCGTTTTTAAAAGGCACTAGTTGTCTTAGCTCTTGAGTTGACCTCAACATAGCAATTGAATATTTGATGTTGAAGCTAAAGTGGATCTCTAATGACATATTATAGGCCTTTTCTGATTGAGCTAGGATCTTCATTTGGAATAGCAATTGATGTTGGTAGAGGAGTCACCTCATTGTTCAAAGAGAAGTCTTGCCTTATCTGTGTAAAGGACAAAAACTCGAAGAAGATATGTAAATAAGTGAAAAATGAATCAAAGAGAAATGATAAAATAGAAATGAGAAAATAAATATATTTAATAAAAAATTTGAATAATTATTGCTAAAGATTAGGAAGCTAAAGACTCTTAAAAGTAGATTGGAAGCAAGAAAAGGATTGATAAGAGTGAAGAAGGCTTTACTTTTCATTCTTTATATATTAAGAGTGATGTGGCAACATTCTATATGATGTTTAATATGTGTTCAATTTGCAAGATATATGTCTAATTTATAAGACAAGTTTTCTATATGTGCACCACGTAGTTAACTTATTCCACAAGTTGCTAATACATGCGATATGTGGCTAATTTATTGGCCAAGTTTTTAACCTATCAATCACTTATAGATATATATATAAAAATAAAAATGTGTTATCAAAGACATAAATCTTGAAGAAAAAAATCTTCAATATATTCTTGTGTCACTTCAAAAGAATAGAAAATCACTCAAAGGTAGTAATATAATAAACTAGAATGGCTATTGCCAAAGACAAGAAAATTAGAAAGTCTTAAAAAAAGATTAAGGACTAAAAAGGCATTGATAAGAATAAAAAATACTTCACTCTTACTTCCATATATACTTTCTAATTATGAGCTATATGGCAATATTCTATAAGACCTCCAATATGTATTGACTTTGCTAGATACATGACTTAATTTGCAAGGCAAGTTATTTATATGTGTATGACATAGTTGATTTATTTCACAAGCTATTAATATATTTTCATGATATAATACAACTAATAGGTGAAAGAGTGAAAAAAATATTATAGCAAATTATCTTATAAATATAGATAATAATTAAAGAGTAATAAATTAATAGTGCAAATAGTACTTTTTTACAAAGTTGGTTTTTACTTACTTTATAGGACCATAAATAAGACAAAACAAGATAAATTAGAAAAATAAAGAATATAGGCATATGTACGAAGAAGTTAAAAATTGATTTTAGTAAAAAATTCTTTAAGAAGACAAAAATTGATACTTGGAGAGGATTGATTGTCAACCAAGGTCAAAATCAGACCCCAAGGCATAAAACCACATACCTATGGTAATTCTAGGATTTTTCTATTGATCAAAGAGTAGAATTTAGAAGAAGATTCTTTAGGATTTTTTAATGCATTGATTTTAGATAATTTGAGTTTGTAATGATTTTGTAAGAGCTTTGTAAAGTCAAGGTTGTTTTAGTCGACTTTGGATTTTATGAAACAAAATAGGATTTATAATTTGGATAATTTTGTGAATTTTGTAATAGATCTACAAGTAAAATTTTATAGGATTGTCAATATAGTTGTGTTAAAT